AATAATGTAAAAAATGTACGTTAGAGATAGAAGTTTTTAGAGTAGGCTTGATTATTCATTTAGACTCAAAGTTTGGTTTATTCCTGTTTAGTAGGAAGTAAAAAGATCTTTTTTTCGCGTTTGCATTCGAGACATGGCATATTTTGAAAAATACATCCAACGTGAATAATTAGAAAAGAGCAATATTAAGGGAAACAGAATTGAGAAACATTGAATAAAAAGGTATTGTTTTCATGTGAAGACACTTTTCTCAGTTTAATCTTAATTTTTTAATTCCGTGACCTTAGCCTACTGTATAGGGAGGATGAAAGAAAATGATTTTCACTTTCCATAAACGTAGTTGTGCTAGGCCCAGCTGGATCCCATGAAAATCTACTCTTACCGTAATTTTTTCCAGAAAAATTCCACTCTGGGATGAGTCCAAAATGGAGATCGTCTCGGCTTGTTCACAACATCAATTTATGTGCACGGGCAGCTCCAGCGTCCATGATCAGCATGTTTCTTGTCCAACTATTAACAAATAAACAAAAAAATGAAACAATCATAGAATGCATAGAGTGATTGTCAATTAGAACATGGGTTAAGAAAAGATAAGCTCTAGGTATATTTCTAGTATAAATGATTTCTAGAAATTTTTTTGAAGTTCAGAAGAAAAAGTGTTTTCAGAAGATTAGACGTTTTTTAGAGTTCAGGAAAATAAATGTTTCCTAGAATTCAGAGGAATAAATGTTTTCTAGGATTTATAAGAATAAATGTTTTCTAGAATTCAGAAGAAAGAATGCTTTCTAGAATTCGGGAGACTAAATGTTTTTTAGAGTTCAGAAGAATAAATGTTTTCTAGCATTCAAGAGAACGTTTCTTAGAGTTCAGAAGAATAAATGTTTTCTAGAGTTCTGAGGAAAAAATGTTTTCTAGATTTCTGAAGAATAAATGTTTTCTAGAGTTCAGAAGAATGGATGCTTTCTAGAGTTCAGAAGAATGAGTGTTTTCTAGAGTTCAGAAAAATAAATGTTTTGTAGAATTCCGAAGAATAAATGTTTTCTAGAATTCTTTTTTTAAGATCTAGATATTTATTATCTCCTCATCCAGATTATTTAAATTGTACAAAATAGTTCATATGGATTAAATAAAACAATTTTACATCAACCTCTTTTCTAGAATTCTAAAGAATAAATGTTTCCATGAATTCAGCATAGAAAAATTCGGACTTGAGAAACAAAATGAAAACAATTTTTTCCATGAGACAGTATTGGAAAGTCTTATACAGTGTTTTTATTTTATTCCTCTTCGTTTTTTCGAAGGGAGGTAAAACAATAAATAATTTGAAAAATTTTGCTTTTCAGCCTTACAATAAATTCGGTTTTCCGAGTGTTTTCATATACAATTAGTTTATTTTCTTTCTTACCGATATCTTCAAGCTATATAGCCACTATTCACTCCTCAGGTTTGAGATAAATGAAGTAGTTAGACAATAGTAATAAATTAATTTGGAGTAAAGGTATATAGTAGGAATAGTTTAAAGTTCAGGAATATATTTCACTTTTAAGGAAATTTAAGATTATATTCTTTTGCGAGAAAATTTTAGGTTTGCGAAAAAGTGCTAGTTTAAAGCAAAGTAATATATTCCACTCTTAAATTAATTAAGATTCTTTTTGGGACAATTTTGGGCTTGCAAAAAAACGTGCTAGTTTAATGCACCACAAAATATTCCACTCTTAAGATAAATTAAGGTTTTTATTTTTTTGAGAAAATTTTAAGATTCGCAAAAAAGTAAAGTGGAATATAGTAAGTGGAAAATTTAAATTTAAATTTTTAAGATTTGCAAAAAAGTAAAGTGGAATATGATTAGGGAGAAGTTCAAACCTTTAATATTTCTAACTTTGACTTTTTGATGTTTTTGGCTTGGGACAATATATATATATTTGATTTGATTTGATTTGAATATAAAATATATATAAAATACATATGTATTACACTTATTTTCTATTAAACAATCAACAATACACAAATGTACACTCCTAGACTGTATAAAGCACAAATGCCGAGCTTCTTGTGTACTATATACCTACAGTACAGTATTCTATTAATAATTATATTATTAGTAATAATAGAATCTATTATATATCAATGATTAGAATATATAATGATTCTATATTCATCTAATACCTTTAAAAATGTTTCAGAAAAGCAAACAATAAATATAATCTCCACCTACTGATCAAACCCTCACCACAAATATAAGGAGATGACAGGGTTAAGCTATTCTAAAACTGCTAGAACCAATGAGGTTATAGTGTATAGAGTGATGATGTACTCTAATCCTCTACTAATTTTATAGACCATAACCATAGAGAATAGAATATATAGAGAGGAATTTACTAGAGAAAAGTGTAAAACGGCCATTTTGTTGTACTGTTTCCATACTGCAGGTGTACTTTAAGCTCAGGGGGCGGAAACGTCATGTGTGTGTGTCTGTACCAAAGAGTGTGTGTCAGTTTAAAGTATACCGAAGGTGTACGTACTGTAGGTTTATACAGTACGTAAGAATCTCGGTATTTGTACAGTCTAGGTGAGTACATTTGTTTATTGTTAATTGTTTAATTAAAAATAAGTTCAATATGCATTTTATTATTATTTACATATTTAAGTCAACACTATAAAGCCAAATTTGTATGCAAAGAATATAATTTGATTAAAGTTTACAATAAACTACTCGTTACTCAAGTTTAATTATAATTGACGACATTGATCTACAATTTCTTTGACTGTAGTCATGTTGTGTGTCTGTACCAGAAGAGTGTTTGTAAGTTTACTGTACTGGTCTGCAAAGCAGTGCGACTGGCTTTCTCTTGCCGGACCAGCGCCATTTCCTTTCCCTATATTCCTGTTCCCTGGTTAAGCTATTCTAAAACTGTTAGAACCAATGAGGTTATAGTGTTTAGAGTGATGATGTACTCTAATCCTTTACTAATTTTATAGACCATAACTGTACCGAGAGCGTACTGCATATTTGTTTATTATAGGCTGATTCTGGCAAAACCTATAGTATATCAATATTAGTAAACAGTTGTAAGTTTATACAGTACAGTACAGCTAACTGAGCACACAGGTAGAAAACTATCATCCCCCCTGGTTGTAACCTATAGTATATCAATAATAGTTAATAGTTGTAAGACGTATACAGTACAGTAATTCTAACTGAGCACACAGGTAGAAAACTATCATCCCCCCATGGTCCTAACCTATAGTATATCAATATTAGTAAACAGTTGTAAGTGTACAGTACAGGTAGAGAACTATCATTCCCCCTGGCTAGAACTAATCTCAGGAACTGAAAACCCAGTATATAAAGCCATTCATACAAGTTTAGTACAAATCTCAATGAGAAACAGCGAAGATAACTTTCAAAAGAGAAACCAAGAAAAGTTATTTGTCTGAAACAGTATATGATGAAGTATAAGATTGTCATAAATCTAAATAATAATCAGATTAATAAAGCTTCTCGCTCATATACATTTATTTGTATATACGTTAGCTATAGCTGGCCAAACGGCTGGACCAAATGGGCTGACATTTTTCAGGGAACCCATATGGAAGCCCGGGGAGTAACATAGGCTAAAAAATTCGAATTCTTTTTTCAAAAAAATTTTTTTTAAAGATTTTTCTTTTCAAAATTCGAAATTTTTTTCAGTGTTTCTAAAGTTCCACGGGCAATTCCAGGCACTCAGCTAGTCTATATAGCAAAGGTCTTTGCTCATATATATATATTTGTATGTATATTATCCATAAACACGGTGTTTCGTCCTGTTAGGACTCATCAGTATGGCTGAATTTGTATCAGTTTTTTATTTCTGCAGTTGACGGGGCTTGAACCACGAATCCTCAGATTATGGATCAAACACGCTAACTACTGCTTCATCAATATATATTTATATGTCAGCTATATGGGTTGACTGAATGGGTTGACATTTTTAGAAGGAACCTTTCAGTACCCCCGGGGTAACTTAGACTAAAAAATCGGTTTTTTTCAAATCAGATTTTTTTATTACACAGGCAACGCCGGGCACTTCAGCAAGTATATTATAAAAATCTTTTAAAAACTGAAGGTCTTTAAAGAAAAGTGTTATACTCCGATTGAAATAAATAAAAAAATAAAAAATTTGGCAAAATTCGGAAAATGCAGAACAAATTGGATTATTAATCTCTCAATCAAAGATAAAACCAAGTGCAAGCTAATTCGCCTGTCTTGAATCTGTATCTGGGCAAGCTAAAACTCTTCTGTCTATAACCTGTAACGGAGCAAGCTAACTCTCATGTCTAAAACCTGTACGGAGCAAGCTATTTCAACCGTCTTGAAGTTTAAACCTCTACAGAAGCAAGCTAACTCTTCTGTATAGAACCTGTACCGGAGCAAGCTAACTCTTCTGTCTTGAACCTGTACCGGAGCAAGCTAACTCTACTGAATAGAACCTGCATGACCGGAGCAAGCTGAATCTCATTTATAGAACCTGTGCTGGAGCAATCTAACTCTTCTGTATAGAACCTGTACCAGAGCAAACTAACGTTTCTGTCTTGAACCTGTTCCGGAGCAAGCTAATTCTCCTGTAAAGCACCTGTACCTATACGGGAGCAAGCTTAACTCTTTTGTTTTAAACCTTATCCAGAGAGTGAAAAGATTTTTCATCCGTATTTAGCCAATGCTCTGTAATTAGCTGTGTGAGAACTAAAAAGAGGTGGGTTTAGTTCGGTTCTTTGTTTGTATCTCCTTTAATATTTGATAAAGCGGATAAAGCACATTAATATTTGGACAATCATTATTTTAGTTTACCTTTAAAAGTTAAAAGTGAATCAGTAAAAAGATTGGAAACCAATCAAAAAATATATATTTTTGTATTTCCACATTAATTGTTAAACAGCTAAGGTTTATTAATATATAATATAATGAATTGATGATGAATTCACGAAGTGGTCCTATCGTTTTAATTACGTTTCACATGATTATGAGGGCTAATGATATACTGAACTTGATAGAACTGATTTCTCCAGGCTGCCTTGTGTATAGCATCATCTGCCTGTCCGTCCTAGGATCTGTTTATGCATCTGGATACAGACACTCAGGAAACCTAATTAAACTTATTTTCTTAACTACCGCAGAAAGATTTAGGGTGTGTGGTGGATTCATGAGCTGTCATAGGAAGATCGATAGTTAGCTCCGGGTTAGGCAAAAATGTAGTAAAATATTTGGGTTACATCATTTTATGTCGGTTTTCAGTCTTCAGAAAAATATATATTTAAAAGGTTTCTTTTTTATTTTTATAAATCTTTCAATGTTTACTTATAAATCCGTAATATTTTGAGTTTTACAATTAAGGAGAAAAAAGGCCGCATAAAAAACATTGAATTGTTGCTAAAAGAGGTGCGCATACCGCCCTGAAAGTCTAGTTTCTTATCATTGAACAATTATATTTGATAGTCGTCTTCATTTTGGGGGTAACCCTGTATTAACCCCATTTCCTATGATTTATTGTTAATTGCTACTTATATATTTAAAAGAATATACTTCTGCTACATCTTGCAACTCTATCTATCTACCTGCTAATATTTTATTTTTATATATTTACTGGACATATTTAAATATTATTGCTACTTTGCATGTATATTCAACATAATTTTACTGCATTTTTTCATTTCTACATCATTGCTACACAATCTTTACAACTAATTTTTCTTAAAAATTTAATTTTTAATTTAATTTTTTCTTATAAATAAGAAGTTATTTGTTTTTTTATTAGATTTAGACGGAAGATATCTTTCCTCTCCAGGTCGTAGAGTAGTCACCAGAGTAAGGTTTGTGAAGAGCAAAGAGGGGGTGTTTTATTTAATAAACCCTTAAATAAAAAGAACTATTTAAAATAAAAAATGACAGAAATTGTTATAAACAAGTGACAAATCTAAAGTTTAAATAATAGAAATATCTTTTATCTATATATATACTGTGCATGCTTGTCTATCTGTCTGGGTGTCTTTTTGTTTGTTTGTGTCCAATAAACGTCAAAATGGCTGAACTGATCGGGACCAAATGTTGTGTGACATCACGTGACACCACGGAACATTCATGGATGATCACATTTTCAAAAATTTGCCTCCAACAAAATTTGATTTCCATTAAATTTTGAAAATGCACGAACTATTTTAAGAAAATCCGCAGACAATTTTTTGTTTTCTTTTGCAATGTATACAAAGAGAAAATGTTTACAATGAAAATAGAAGATGGGCGCGAAGTGCCCTAAAGGTCTAGTCTTCTATAGTCTTCTATATACTTTTCTGTCTGTTTGTGTGTAAGCAATAAACGCCAAAACAGTTGAACCAAAGGAGCCCAAATTTTGTGTGAACCTCACATGATGCCAGGGAAGGTTCAATGTAAATGATCAAAATTTCAAAAATTTGCCTTCAACAAAATTCGATTTTTTATAAAATACACCAACTTTTTTCTTTGTGTTTGTTTTACAATGTGTACAAAGAAAAATTTTTCACACCTGAAATAGAAGAGGACGCGAAGCGCACTAATAGCGCAGTTTTTGTTTTTAATTTTAAAAATAAACTTACATTAATTTTTTTTATTAACATCCTATAAACTTTAAATGAATCATCACCTTTAATTCATGACATATTCTGGAGAATAGGGGGGGGGGGGAGATTGACCAGTTTATTCAAACCATAGCAGCTAGCTGTGTTGGGTTTAATGACAAAGTTCTCCGTCTAGGTATGATGAACCTGCTGAGAGGAATATCCATGTTACTCATGAAGTTCACCATGTTGTCCATAAGAAGAGAAAACGATTAAGGAAATTGGGATTTATGAATCTGGAAAATTTAGAAACATTTTAAAGGGACTGTACGCGTATTTTCAAGAGACCCTTCATTTGTAAATTGACGTGTCCAATTTACAGTAGTACCCTTTAAAACTTTGACATAAGGCCTTCGGACTTATTCTCATTATTCTACAGAAACTTTGGACTTATCCTCGTTATTCTACAGAAACTTTGGACTTATCCTCTTTATTCTACAAAAACTTTGGACTTATCCTCATTATTTTACAGAAACTTCGGACTTATCCTCATTAGTCTACAGAAACTTTGGACTTATCCTCATTATTCTACAGAAACTTTGGACTTATCCTCGTTATTCTACAGAAACTTTGGACTTATCCTCTTTATTCTACAAAAACTTTGGACTTATCCTCATTATTTTACAGAAACTTCGGACTTATCCTCATTAGTCTACAGAAACTTTGGACTTATCCTCATTATTCTACAGAAACTTTGGACTTATTCTCATTATTCTACAGAAACTTCGGACTTATTCTCATTATTCTACAGAAACTTTGGCCTTATCCTAATTATTCTACAGAAACTTTGGACTTATTTTCATTATTCTACAGAAACTTCGGACTTATTCTCATTATTCTACAGAAACTTCGGACTTATCCTAATTATTCTACAGAAACTTCAGACTTATCATCATTATTTTACAGAAACTTCAGACTTATCCTCATTATTCTACAGAAACTTCGGACTTATCCTAATTATTCTACAGAAACTTCGGACTTATCATCATTATTCTACAGAAACTTCGGACTTACCCTCATTATTCTACACAACGCTTTTTCTTGTTGAGCATTTTGTTTGCAAACTGCTGAACTTAAAGGAATTCTTTCGGTTTTCGATAGATTTACACACACAGATCACTTTCCTCAATGAACAGAAAATTTTAAAGGGTACCATTGTAAATCGGGCTTTGTCCTCTTTTCATTGAGGGTCACTTGAGATTACGCTTACAGTCCCTTTAAACATATAGAAATATTTAAAGTTTTTAAACTCAAACATTGTACTAAATTATAAATTAATATAAAATTATGCTGTATAATGTCGACTGTATAGATCTGTTTTATGGATTTATGGATCTTTCCACTTTAAACCCTAAACACTACAGGCCAGTGGCTGTGGTTCCGGTTGAGCCAATCCATCCTGTATCCGGGTTCGAAGGATCCTATGTAGCTGTCTCCGGAGATCCAGGACGTGGTTCAGTTCACGTCGTTGAGAATGTTCCAGCTCTGGGAGCTAATTCAGTAACAGTTGTGAACGGAGTCAGATATTCTAACACACCTGTAGCAGCTTTACACCCTCAGGTGCATCATGTAGCGTTAGCTCCGGTACATGGAGTACCTCCTCCCGTTCCTCATCCCGGGGTTCAAGGACAATTTATACCAAATGTTAATCCAATTCCTCCACGAGGATCACCAGGTTGGTATTTATAGTTTTATTTGCAGGAAGCGGCGCCATCTGTTGATAAAACCCGAAACAGATCTGTAATTATTGTTTTATTGCCGTCATACTTTATAGCAAACAATTCTAAAGAGATTGTCTAGAATTAATCCATCAAATTTTCAACTAGACTACATAAACCAGACAATTAAACAATTCTAAAGAGATTGTCTAGAATTAATCCATCAAATTCTAAACCCGACTACAACAACCAGACAATCAAACAATTTAAACCGAAGATCTTATAAATGGATTCAGACAGAGCGTCCCAATTAGGTTTTAAGAAGAAATGTTTGTCCTTTCTATACCTTTTATTCACTAAACTATATGCAGGACAAACTCAAATTATTTCATCCCTATATCCTTGAATGCCGTAGACCTTTGTTATTTCAAACCATGTTAGATCAAATAATATAAGTTTGAAATATCAACATAAGGTTGCAATGAGGGATAAGAAAAGATGAGTTTGTGGCAAAAACTCTTTAGAAATTTCAATCTAGGTTTTTTTGTAAAATTTTCAATTTCAAGACTTTTTATGAAAATTACTGGAAATTAAGGAATTTGCATGTCTTTAACTTTTGTTTTCTTAAAATAAATCTTTTATATTGTAAAGAGTAAGAAAAGCGGATTTAATCGCTTTTATTCTCAAAGAATTTCTAGTAAATAATATAGTTGAATTAATAAAACTGTGGAAAAGAAAGACGACTGTTCAAATAAACATGACGCATAGCAATCGTGAAATCTACACTGACGTACCCATTTCACTAAATAATAAGTTGAAACATAGGTCTACCATAATGAATCAACTGAAACATGGTCTATCATGGTGAATCAACTGAATCATTGGTCTATCATGGTGAATTAACTGAATCATTGGTATACCATAATGAATCAACTGAAGCATTGGTCTATCATGGTGAATCAACTGAATCATTGGTCTATCATTATGAATCAACTGAATCATTGGTCTACCATGGTGAATTAGCGAAATCATAGGTCTACCATAGTGAATCAACTGAATCATTGGTCTATCATGGTGAATTAACTGAATCATTGGTCTATCATGGTGAATTAGCGAAATCATAGGTCTACCATAGTGAATCAACTGAATCATTGGTCTATCATGGTGAATTAACTGAATCATTGGTCTACCATAATGAATCAACTGAATCATTGGTCTATCATGGTGAATTAGCTGAATCATATTCTATCATGGTGAATTAGCTGATGCATTGGTCTATCATGGTGAATTAGCTGAATCATTGGTCTATCATTGTGAATTAGCTGAATCATGTTCTATCATGGTGAATTAGCTGAATCATTGGTCTATCATGGCGAATCAACTGAATCATTGGTCTACCATGGTGAATTAACTGAATCATTGGTCTATCATGGTGAATTAGAAGAATCATTGGTCTATCATGGTAAATTAGCTGAATTATTGGTCTATCATGGTGAATTAGCTGAATCATATTCTATCATGGTGAATTAGCTGAATCATCGGTCTATCATGGCGAATTAGCTGAATCATTGGTCTACCATGGTGAATTAACTGAATCATTGGTCTATCATGGTGAACTAGCTAAATCATCGGTCTATCATGGTGAATTAGCTGAATTATTGGTCTATCATGGTGAATTAGCTTAATCATTGGTCTATCATGATGAATTAGCTTAATCATTGGTCTACCATGGTGAATTAGCTTAATCATTGGTCTATCATGATGAATTAGCTGAATCATTGGTCTATCATGGTGAACTAGCTAAATCATCGGTCTATCATGGTGAATTAGCTGAATCATCGGTCTATCATGGCGAATTAGCTGAATCATTGGTCCACCATGGTGAATTAACTGAATCATTGGTCTATCATGGTGAACTAGCTAAATCATCGGTCTATCATGGTGAATTAGCTTAATCATTGGTCTATCATGATGAACTAGCTTAATCATTGGTCTATCATGGTGAATTAGCTGGATCATTGGTCTATCATGGTGAATTAACAGAATCATAGATCTACCATGATGAATCAGTTGAATCATTGGTCTATCATGATGAATCAGCTGAATCATTGGTCTATCATAGTGAATTAGCTGAATCATTGGTCTATCATGATGAATCAGCTGAATCATTGGTCTATCAAGGTGAATTAGCTGAATCATTGGTCTATCATGGTGAATTAGCTGATGCATTGGTATATCATGATGAATCAGCTGAATCATAGGTCTAACATGATGAATCAGCTGAGTCATAGGTCTAACATGATAAATCTACTGAATCTTAGGTCTACCATATAAATCAGCTGTATCATAGGTCATCCTTGACGAATCAGCTGTCTGCTACGATAAATCAGCTGAATTATTAGTGTTTCATGATGAATTAGCTAACTCTAGATATTTATAGATGGCGTATCAGGAGATCGTCTTCCTTTACCTAAATGTTCCTACGTGAATACAGATTTCCCTGGAGATGATCTAGATATATATGGAGATGATGATGATGATAACAATAATAATGATGATAGAAGGAGAGGAGTTAACGCTGGATCCGCCAGGTAATTAGATATTTAGATCATATGATCTCTTCAAAATATTTACGGTTGCGGAATAATTGACAGGGTTGATGAAAACATGATAAACTGGTAAAGAAGGTAGATATGTGTGTACACATACAGGTGTGAATTAGGGGCAGGAGGAAGAAATCCTTTTACCCTTACAGGGATTCTTGTATGTATGCAAAACATGTATATATGTACATTGTAAATATATATTCAATTTGGAGCAATCCATTTTTTTTATAAACAATAGAAAATGTCCTGATATTATTCAATATATTGTGTTGTGCTTTTGTAATTGTATCATTATATTTTACGAGTTGATATTTATATTGCAAAGCATGTAAAGCAAGATGCAGGCTAGAGGAGGATAGTATTGCTATATTCTACTAGTTGATACTTATATTGCAGAGCATGTAAAGCAAGATGCAGACTAGAGGATTGTATTGTAATATTCTACTAGTTGATACTTATATTGCAGAGCATGTAAAGCGAGATGCAGGCTAGAGGATTGTATTGTAATATTCTACTAGTTGATATTTATATTGCAGAGCATGTAAAGCAAGATGCAGGCTAGAGGAGGATTGTATTGTTATATTCTACTAGTTGATATTTATATTGCAGAGCATGTAAAGCAAGATGCAGNGTTACACCAAGTTACAGACAACATTTTGGAAATTCCAAAACTAGGAGTCTTCGATATTAACTTTTCTAAGTGGATGGCTGCAATTATGATTTTTTGTCCGTACAGGTCAAAGGTGATTTGAAAGTCGTAACTCAATTCCCATGTTTATTGGGACTCCCTGTAAATAAACATATTGTGTCATCAACCCCTTTCTGCTTAATCAGGAAAGAGTGTATTATATAAATCATGAATATGAAACTAAACTAAATAAACTAGGCCGAATTATAATTCATAACAATTGAATATTTTGCTTGCACAATTAGCACGGAGTAAATGATAATTATGCATAAACTGGAGTTTAAATGATTTTTTAAGATGAAATTTTAAAAGTTTACGATCTTTCAGGTGGTATGATTTTTGATAAAGTATGTGGTATGTTATGTAATGACAGCTGCTATAATTAACTGCAGCGCTTAAACTCAGTAAACCTAGACCATTACACTTTATCATTAACTTTAAACTTTAAAAAAATACTAACTAAAGTGCCCGGCGTTGCCCGTGGAATAAAAAAGTTACCCCAATTTTAGCCAATTTGGTCCAGCCGTTTGCCCAAATCATCAAGTTAATACAAATATATTTCAACAACGTATTTCACATCGCATATTTCTTTAACATTTTTTAAAAGGGTAAATTCATTTTTTACTTGGTTTCTTCATTTTTAAGAGCTTCGCTTGAATTAAGAGATTTTGCTTGTCTGAAAAATCCCGAATTTGAAGATTTAAGAACGGGATATTTAGCGGTAAGGTCTAGTTTATTCCGGGTAGATTGTAAACCCGCGAACTGGAATGGATTAGTCCTTGTATCAAAGTTGTTCTGGAACACAGGCCTGGTTTCACAGGGTTCTCTTCTCAGCGTGATATCGTCCAGAGCATACCCTGCATCATTAGAGTTTCCTTCGAACACGATGGCAGAGTTTGAGTCAAGTGCCGGGATGAAAACCTGTGCATGGAGCCAAGTTGATACCGTTGAACCTTGTGGTAGCTCCAGGTCGGAGAACTGAACTCCCCAGAGAGGTCCCATGGTTCCGTTTGCAAACTGTCTTTTAACCTGGAGATTAGAGGAGTCCGACTCTGTGGTTGTGTAGAAGAACTCGAGGCACAGGGATGTATTGGGTCCGAGGGGAGGAGAGATTAACCAGGTTTTGGTTTGAATATTTATTGTATCAAAGTAAACGTATCCATTAGTATCCAGGTTAAAGGTATGATCCCTGAAGGATCCAAAGTTCTGATTTCTATCAGATAGTTTCCAGTCCTGAGGTCTGAGCTCCATAGCGCTCCCTGGATTTATAGATCTCCAACCACAAGTATCAAATTCAAAGGAACAGTCTCCGATATTAACCAAAGCTTTCTTGGGTTTAATACTACAAGATCCAGGATACAGAGATACATCATCTATACCGACAACACCAAGGACATTGTTTGCTCTGATACCCTCGAATGTGAGAAGATACGGACTATCTGGGATAAATGAAACTTGAGCAAAAGCCCAAGTTGGTTCCTGCTGGTTGGATAAAGACCAGATTATCTTTGGTTCAGCTGAGCTCATCACTTCATTTCCTAATCCAAGGGTTGTTTGACAATAATTAAGCTATTTTTTCATGTTTTCAAAAAAAAATTCAAGACTTTGAGAAAAGTTAAGCACCCCCTGCCTGTAATATTTCTAGGTATAAGCATAATTCTCAGAGTTCCAAGGTATGGAACAGAACTCACGTCAGTCGCCATGTAATACCAGAAACTTAAAAAAGGTTGAACATTTTATTTTATCAAAAATATTTAAGATATTAATAGTTTTCTACCTGATACAAAGAGGGTCTGATGATATTGGAACCTGAGGACCGATCAGGAAACCTCGGTCTAGAGGTCTGTGCTGATAGTTCTTCACATCAAACAGAGCAAACCAATCCTCCTCTCCGGGTGATAGAACCCCGTGTCCTTCTGGAACATTCTCCCCGCCCTTGACACGTGACCAGAGCGGTGGAGCTTCTGTTCCTGTTCCCTCCTCTACAGGAATATTCTGGGATATGTATCCACATAGATCAGAGTTAAAAGAGCAGCTGACTGCCTGATAGCGCGCAGCTTCGGTAGGTTTTATTACACATGGTCCTTGTTGTAAGGAAACAGAATCAATAGCAATATCTCCTCTCTCCGCCTCTCCGACCCTTCCCTCGAAGAACAGGGTACTCTTATCCTCCGAGGCTATTGTAACCTCTGCCCTATGCCAGTAGTCCCGAGGAGAAGATGCTGGACGAACCAGCTCCCATAGTGTTGAGAGCTTGCTGTTGTTTAAGTTCTCTTGAACTAAGGATAAAGAACCAATTCCTGAACCGTACATGTTCACATAGAACACGAGACAGAGCGGGGAATCTGGTTCGGTTTGGATTTCAGACTTGAGACGGAGAATAGCAGAGTCTCCGGGGTGTCTCGGATACCCACTGTCTATGTACGCGTATCCTCCGGCAGATCCAGATGACAGAGAAGATTCCTGATCCTTGAGGGGTCCTGTGAAGGATTTCCTGCTTCCTCTAGATAAGGTCCAGTCGAAATCATCCCCATCTACGTTTTGCCAGAGACAGGTTGAGAAACTTCCATCAAAGTTACAATCATTCCCACATACTCCTGAATACAAAGAGATCATTCCCACATACTCCTGAATATATAGAGATTATTCCCACATACTCCTGAATATACAGAGATAATTTCCACATACTCCTGAATATATAGAGATCATGCCCACATACTCCTAAATATATGGAGATCGATTCCACATATTCCACATAAACATAGCTAGTTGTTTACTTTAGGCCTTATACTTTTGCTAAATAACGTAGACTGAATAATTGCTCATTTACTAAAACAAATTCCTAAAAAAAGATTCTTTAGAATCAGTTAAATAATATTTAACATGAATCTCCTATTGATTTCCGTAGCAAATATTGGCCATTTTCTCTGCGGGAAAAAGTAGAAATCCACGAGTTGCTTTCTAGAAAATCAGCTAAAAGGGTCAAAGAAGTTGTCAAGTCGTTTCCTGGGATATTTAAGAAGATACAAATTTCCCTGTAAAATCATTTCTGACACCCATAGGCTTAGTACGTCAATATAATTCACCAAGACCATACGGCAGTCCTTCAATTATCATACAGGGAAATTTTCATCTTTAAAGAGAAAAGTAATGCACCCTCACCGTTTCTTAGCTACAGCTGTGAATCTGTAATCCTTCTAAACAGGGCTACGTACAATGATAATGCCATTTAGTTTACATTTTTACCTTCATTTAGTTGAATATTATCAAGAGCTATATATCCTCTGTACTTCTCCATTGCTCCAGGGTTGGGAGTTGCTTCAAAGATGAAAAAGTGCGGATTCGGAGCGGAGTAGGAAAAATGTCCATTTTTCCAGATACCTTGAGTACTATCCTCCCATCTCCAAACTGTGTTTGCCTTTAAATATCATAGTTGGTTTTCTGTACAGTGTACAGTTTTACGGTGTAATGTAGAGTTAATGGTAAATTGTACAGTGAAGTGTAAAGTGTAACCGTTTCCGGTGAAGTGTACAGTTTACTTTGAATTGTACAGTTTACTATTAAGTGTATAGTTTTAAAGTAATGTGTACAGTTTAAAGTAAAGTGTACAGTTTAAAGTAAAGTTTACAGTTTAAAGTAAAGTGTATAGTTTAAATTAGAGTTTACAGTTTAAAGTAAAGTGTACAGTTTAAAGTAAAATTTACAGTTTAATGTAAAGTCAGTTTAAAGTAAAGTTTACACTTTAATGTAAAGTTTACAGTTTAAAGTAAAGTGTACAGTTTAAAGAAAAGTGTACAGTTTAAAGTAAAGTTTATAGTTTAAAGTAAAGTTTACAGTTTAAAGTAAAGTGTGCAGTTTAATGTAAAGTGTACAGTTTAAAGTAAAGTGTAGAGTTTAAAGTAAAGTGTACAGTTTAAAGTAAAGTTTACAGTTTAAAGTAAAGTTTACAGTTTAAAGTAGTAAAGTGTGCAGTTTAATGTAAAGTGTACAGTTTAAAGTAAAGTGTACAGTTTAAAGTAAAGTGTACAGTTTAAAGTAAAGTGTACAGTTTAAAGTTAAGTGTACAGTTTAATGTAAAGTTTACAGTTTAAAGTAAAGTTTACAGTTTAAAGTGAAGAAAAAAGATTTTAGTTTTGTCCAGGTATACAGGTTAGTTAACAGTTCCTTATGAATGCGTATAGGCATGGAAATGTCTTCTAAACAACAATAAACGGTCGTGGAGTTAAAAATCAAGAATTTAAATGAAACCTCTAGTTGAGCAAATCCGTTCCCGAAAGACATTGATATAGCCCGGGTCTGAGCAGATCCTTGCTCTGTAGTTCCTCCATTCTGTTCCTCTGGCCTAGGCTGATCTGGAACTGGAACACCAAGAACATCTACTCGGATAACACTGGAAAAAAGAGATATTTTTTTTGGTTCTTTTTAAACTATAAGGTTTTTAGTCTTTTAAGCGGCTTCGACAATAATTCGAGATGGTCAAAAATGTCAAGGTTATTTTTTCTTTGTGCAAAGTTTTACTTTGACAAGTTAGAATGTCTTCTTCAATAATTTGTTAAGCTAATTGTTTGATGCCAAAGAGAATAATAAAAATATTATATGGGAGTCATGATTATAATAAAATTAATTTCAAAGTAAAATATATTGAGAAACATTTATTTTAACCAAGTAAACTGCACAAAGCGTTTAGTATCTTATACAGTATATGGAAGAAGACATTTAAAATTTTTCACCAACTGTCATGTTTCGTGGGACACCCTGTATATACACCAGAACGATTTATCATGACGATTAAGCCAATATACAATTTTCATTTTTTTTGGTCTCTTATCTTAAGTCCGAGAAAACATTTTGCATAACATATAATTAAGGCAAACTGTACAGTGAGAACCAGAAAACTGTGAAATAGGAAGACGACATTATAGCAATGCTTAAGCGTACATTATAATGTATTTGATGTTTTTCCAAAGCAAATAGTTTTACCAGCAGCTTATTAAATTAGTTATTGAGTTAAATGGGTCTGTTTACACTGCACATGTTTATTAGACTATTTAAAGTCATAAATTGAGTCTTAAAGTCGTCTTCCTATTTCACAGTTTGCTGGTTTTCATTGTACACAACTTTTTTAAATGTAATAAACATCACAGATTTGAAAAAGTCAGAAATTGTTTTAAGGGAACCAAATTAAACAATTCTCATCTTTAAAGCAAACAGTTAGACCGGGACTTTATCTTAGACTAAGAACGGAGAATTTAAGCTTATTCTAATATTTCCAGTTTTCTTGGGAGTTTTTTTAATAAGTTTTCTTTGAATAAAAAGAATGGCATTTTGTGACAAGTTTAATTAGAAAACATCTAAACCAGTTGTTTACCATATTCTTGAAGAAAATAAAGATATGCCATTAATACAACTATTCTTTACCCTTTATTTTAGAAAATAGTAAAATAATTGCGTAATTCTAAAAACTTGCTGGGCAATTAAGATTGGCACAATTTCGGAGAGAAAAGCTATTACTGTTGAGACAACGTTTCCCAGATAAAGGATCACATTTAAGCTGATGTTGATCTAAAACTAGACCTAAACTCTTCTCCATGAAGTGACTATTTTTAACCTGAGAGCTTTAACATTTAATCCTTCAAGAGAGAAATCAAATTGAAAACATCTTCCTCTAGCAGAGGTCGGAGAAATAGCTTCAGTTGTAAACCAAGCCTTCTCCTCCAATCCTGATTCATCCTTCTCCAGGATAGAGGATATGTCCGCGTAGATAAATCCTCCGGTAACAGTTCCGTCTCCGTCCTTCTCAGGTCCCCCCAACCAGTAGGAGTTCAATCCTAGGTTTAGTTTCCAGGGGTGTACTCTAGAACCCCCATAAAGTATATAGAAGATAAATTTCAGAAAATATTATTAATAAAAAAACATTATTAAAAATATAAATGGTAATTTAGACATGTTTGAAAATTAAAACAGAATATACAAGGCTAAACCCCTGTTTTATTATTTGTTAAATGTCATTTTGCTTTATTGGAATCAAACCAAGAGCAATAAAAGTCAAATATCAAACTCTTCTAACTTAAATAGTTGGATTGTAAACTAGATAATTCAATTATTGATATTATTATCATTATGAATACATTTATGATTATTATTATTATCATTATTATTCTTATTATCATCATTGTATTCATTTCATCATTATTATCTTCATTTATTAATATCAGTATAATATCATTATTATCTTCATTTATTAATATCAGTATTATATCATTATTATCTTCATTTATTAATATCAGTATTATATCATTATCATTATGACTATGTCGGGTTTCCTATAGTCTACAACATCTATTGTATAGTTACAGCTGTCGATGAATCCGTCTGTCCCAAGGTTGAATTTACAGATTAGCCCCGGGTTTGTTCTGATCTGAGCTGTGAGAGTTTGTACTGAACCTGTCTCTAAACTCCTCATCATTCTCTCCAAGCTCATCCCGTATACTTTAACTTTAACAACAATTACAATTCAAAAACTTGAGAAAGAAGAGTCAATTGACATGATCTCGTTTTTTATTCCCAACACATAACAACACTTTATCATATTAGCTGATAATAAAATCTATTATAAAATGTTCACACAAATCAGGAAGTCAGGATTGATCACCAATAAGAACAGAGATTTGGTTTTGTTATTTCGACGTTAAAGGATATAAACAAACAGACAGACAGACGAATGAAGGAGGTCCAACTACATCAATTCTTGACATCAAAAAGGTGATTAAAACACCATTTATGTTGTTTTTTATACTTAAAAGCGTCAAATCAAACAAATTTTCCATCTAATGATCAATTCGTCCATCTTGTTCTGCGATACTTTTATATAGTAAGTTTATGATCGCTGAAGTTTGGGCTTTCTTATTATTTTTTTTCCATTTTCTTTATGTAAATTCTGATAAAAATATTTTCTTGAACTGTTTAGTTATTTTCCTGGGGTGGTTTGTAAAACTAGCCAGATGTAAACCAGAAATAGGTTTAATCTTATGCCGTAGTAAACTAATGACGGGTTCAATTTCATCATGGAGTAATCTTAAGAGAAGTGAATCAAGTCCCGGGGTACTATCTGCTGCTGGAGAAACCCAAAGATGGGTATAATCTTATCTCAGAGAAACCCAAAGATGGGTTTAATCTTATCTCAGAGAAAACCAAAGATGGGTTTAATCTTATCCCAGAGAAAACCAAAGATGGGTTTAAGCTTATTTAAGAGAAAACCAAAGATGGGTTTGATCTTATCCCAGAGAAATCCAAAGATGGGTTTAATCTTATCCCAGAGAAACCCAAAGATGGGTTTAAGCTTATCTAAGAAAAAACCAAAGATAGGTTTAATCTTATCTCAGAGAAAACCAAAGATGGGTTTGATCTTATCCCAGAGAAACCCAAAGATGGATTTAATCTTATCTCAGAGAACCCAAAGATGGGTTTAAGCTTATCTAAGAGAAAACCAAAGATAGGTTTAATCTTATATCAGAGAAACCCAAATATGGGTTTAATCTTATCCTAGAGAAACCCAAAGATGGGTTTAATTTTATCCTAGAGAAAACCCAAAGATGGGTTTGATCTTATCCCTGAGAAACCCACAGATGGGTTTAATCTTATTCCCGAGAAAACTGCAATGAATAAATAAACTAGTGTGGAGTATGGAATGTCCTCAACTGCTTTATATACCGGATATACAGATTACATATACTCTGATATACAGCCCGTGTTAATATTATTAAATAAACAGGCATTATTAAGCTATACTGCCTGTATTCACTTTAATGCATTTACAAGGTTCAAATATATCACACTTTCACCTTTCATACCCTCTAGCTCTCCTATCCTTTAAAGCAGGATAGTCTGGGTAGGGGGGGGGGAGGGTGTATTGTTTACATAATAAGGCAGGAAACTAGGATATCATTGTATAACTATTGTCGTCTAACACATTGTAGATTAGATAGATATGAATATCATAATAGAAATTTAGGGTGATGCGTGCCACATCTTTTTACTTTATAACATAAAATCGACATTTAACCTTTCCATTTAAACCTTTTTTTAAAGTTAGTTTCATTTATTGACGGCAGGTATTTGATAAGTTAATAGGGTAAAAATTGTAATTAGTAGTTTTTACATGACTATATGAATACAGGACAAATATGGAAAGATATACCAATAATTCGACACAGTTAATCTTACTTCAATTCGAAATTTACTCAATTTATTATTTATTTATGAATAAAGAATTGTTAAATATATTCTTAACTGAACTTAGTGTTTGAACTATATTAATTTGCTGAAGATATTTTGTTTGGTTACAGTAAATAGTTTGAAAATGGTCTTTGATCTCTAAATTAAAAACTTAAATTTATATATTTATTTTTTAATGAATTAAAATGTTAATAAACAAATGAAAGAAAATTTTGTTAGGTTTTAATTGAAGTACATTATTCAATGAGCTGGTTCATCCAAGGTTAACAAATAGCGGCAGCTTTCCCTGTTTTAACAGGTTTCCCATCAGCAATCATTGTGGATATCTTTCTCTTCCTCCCATTGGACGCATGGGGCCTTGGTTCTCCGACAGTAAACGTGGAAGGACTGAAAACTCTGGTTTCTATGTTCTGACTGGAATGATACTGCTCCATGCAAACCTTGACAGCATTCCAGATCTTCTCTTCCTTCAAGATCTTGGTTACACTCTGTATATCCGGAGACATATAACGATCCTTATCCCAGGGTCCAACAACACTCCGGACACACTTGTAAACCTCCTCCAGGGGTAGAGTTGTCTTCAGAGGACGGAGAAATTCAATAGCTTGACACGCAGCGAGCAGTTCGATAGCAATCACCTTCTCTACATTTCTTACAACCTGGAGACATTTCCTGGCAGCAAATCCACCCATGGAGACGTGATCCTCAGTACCAGCACTGGTTGAAAGAGAATCCACGCTGGCAGGATGGCACAATGTTTTGTTCTCAGAAACCAAAGCAGCCGCTGTGCAGTGTGCAATCATGAACCCGGAGTTGAATCCTCCATCCTTGACCAGGAAGGCGGGGAGTTCGCTGTAAGCTGGATTGACCAATCTTTCAATCCTTCGCTCACTCATAGACGCCAGCTCATGAATACCAATAGCAAGGTAATCTAAAGCCTTTGCTGGATATTCGCCGTGAAAGTTTCCGGCGGAAATTGTTTCTCCTCTCTCCGCCAAAACGATTGGATTGTCCGTAGCACTATTCATCTCAATTGTGATTATACCTCGAACAAACTCAATAGTATCATGTGTGATTCCATGAACCTGAGGAGCGCAGCGGAGAGTGTACGCATCTTGAACCTTATCACAGAACCTGTGACTTTGCGCTATTTCTGATGGATAAGTCTCAGAGTGGAGAAGTGATCTCAGTCGTCTTGCCACCACACCTTGACCCTTGTGGGGTCTCAGCTTATGCACATCGCTATCAAAAGCTCTAGATGTTCCTTTCAGAACCTCTAGAGTAAGAGCTGCAACTACATCTGCTTGACGAGCAATCATTCCTGCTCGTTCAGTTGCTTCAGCTCCAATAGAAGTTATCAGTTGGGTTCCATTGATCAGAGCTAAACCTTCCTTGGCACTCAAAGTTATAGGAGTTAGATTATGACTTTCTAAAACATATCTTGCCTTACCCCAACCAGTAGATGGAGACCACATATCCCCCTCTCCCATCATACCCAGCGCTAGATGAGATAAAGGAGCAAGATCTCCACTCGCCCCGACAGTTCCCTGCTCTAAATAAAAGTATTTTAAAAAGATATTGATAGACAAATAATCATCATTGTTTGCATTGAGATGAAAACATTGCTTTTACCGAAATAATAAATAATTCTTTGAATAGTTTTGAATTAAAACATAAATTTTCAAATATTTTAAATGTTTAAATTGATATGTACCTGGAACCCAGGAAAGACAGGACATGTTGAATGCATCGATCAGCTGTTTTAGGGTCTTCAAGGATATTCCGGAGAAACCTTTTGCAAGCACATTAATTCTGAGAGCCAGGAGCATTCTTGTTTTCTCCGGAGAGAGAGCACGTCCTACTCCAGCAGCATGACTACGGATAAGGTTAACCTGAAGCTCTTCCAGTTTTTCCTTCTCAATGATGGTTCGGGCAAACTTACCGAATCCTGTAGTGATTCCGTACACAACACGGTTATCCTTAACTATGTTATCAATGACCTCTCTGGATGCTTTAACCTTCTCCTCAGCTTCTGCGGTCAGCTTGATCTTAAACTTGCCTTTCCCAAGCTGAAGAAGGTCGTCCGTAGAGAGAGAGTTTCCGTCCAGGAAAAGATATTTATCTGGGATCTCAAACTTTCCGCCTGGTACTTGAGATGTGACAAACTTAATCTCGGCATCTGATAGATTAGGATTAGGTCGATCCGTTTCCAGAACAATCGAGACAAAATCATTATCATCAAGAACATCTTCAATCTTGTCTTCAGGATCAAGTATAGCTCCGCCAAGAGTCTTTCTTATATCATGAACCTTTTCCTCCCGGTTTGGAACAAAGGAAGGAGGTCTAAGCTTGAGAAATCTTCTGAGAGCTTCTTCTCCCAACCATCTGATTGTCAGCTTGTTACTCTTACAGGGTACATGGAACCAATCTCCGCGAACTCTGCAACTAATCTTCATCTTGAGGCAATCTGGAGCTGAATGAGATGAAGTTTAAGAATCCTGGTCATCTTAAACAAGTGGTGGTGTGGACAAACTAGTTTTAATATTTATTGGTTTCAGCTTATCTGATAATGACAGGTTGGGGGAAAATTTTTCTAATTCCATTTTTGTAGAAAATGTGTTTTTCTATTTCTGTTTAAATACCATATTGTGTCGCTTAAAATATAAACAATTAGAAAAGATGTATTTAGATTTTTAAATCATCCTTGTGAAGGTGATTAGTGGGAAAGGTTCAAAAACCTGTATATACATTATTTACATAACATTAATGTTTTTTAAATAATCATTTCTGAAGAAGTATTTGGTCCTAGATTAATTGAAAGTATTCTTAGATTTAATTACGAGGAATTCATTGAATCTGGGGGCTCGACCTAACTACAGTATTCAACACATGTTAACTATTCTATACAGAGAGAGTTGAGAAATTGAGAAAAATTAATCTTTGGAACCCTTGATCAGAGGAACCCTTGGTCTTGGTAATCATTGTTCATGGAAACCATTGATTTTGGGAACCGTTAGTCTTGGGAACCATAGATTTTGGAACCATTAGTCTAGGGAACCCTTGATCCTGGGAAACTTTGATCGTTGGTACCCACGGACTTGGTAAACATTGTTAATGGAAACCATTCATCTTGGGAGCCTATAGTCTTGGGAACTCTTGATCTAGGTAACCATTAGTCTTGGGAACCCAGGATCCTGAGAACCATTGATCTTGGGAACACATGGTTGTGGTTAACATTTTTATTGGGAATCATTAGGAACCCTTGGTTTCATGATCCTATGATCTTGGAAACCCTTAGTCTTGAGAACTCTTGGTCTTGGTAACCATTTTCTTGGGAACCCTTGATCTTAGGAACCCTTTGTCTTAGGAACCCTTGGTCTTAGAAACCATTGGTCTTTGGAACCCTTTGTCTTAGGAACCATTGGTCTTTGGAACCCTTGGTCTTAGGAACCGTTGGTTTCAGAAACCCTTGGTCTCAGGAACCGTTGGTCTTAGGAACACTTGTTTAATGATCCCTTGATCTCTGATAGGGGATTTTTGTTTCCAACTTAATAATCCCAAGGGGCATAGTTAAATAGCATAAAAGATTGATGAAACCTAGTTGACAGTATTACCATGCAAACCACAGCAATTGTATCATTTTTAAAAGTGTTTATATTAACAAATTTATGCCGGGAAGGACAATCTAAAATGACTTTTAGATTTTGATAAACCCTGATGAGGGATTGAAAAACTGAACAGAGTTATTTTAGTTTTTAAAATGATAATGTTGTCTTGTATCTTTTTGTTTGATGGTTTGTAATTATTGGCGTTAGAAACAGGCGGACTCTCCATTTGGCTCTTTTTCTTATGTTTTCTGAATCTCGCTGTATAATCTGAATTAAACCTGTTTCTCTGAAACCATGAAAACAAACAAGATTATTAGGGCTTGTCTGAGTTATATCTAGCACTGATATAAAACCTGAAATAGAACTGGGAAGAGAAGAGAAAATTAGGAGATTTCAACGATATCATTTTCTGTTGATATATTTATATATATACAAGTATTGATCCCAGCTAATTACTTTATGTTCATAACTCGTAATTACAATTTTTCAATTTTAAATTCCTGCAGATGTTCTAAATATTTCTTACGGATGTATTCTATACGTGGTAGTTTATATGCACTCAATATACATGTCACATGTCACATGTCACATGTCAACGGTTCAAAGAAAATCTAATTTAAAAGATAAACGCTGAAATGTCAAACCATTGGGAACAGTTATTCTTTAAGAAACTATTGTGCACTTTGCACATCTAAAAAGTGCTAAAAGTATTTATCGTGCTCTGATGTAAATCAACTTGAAATTATCGCACACAGGCTGAAAGTTTAAAAGGTTCCTGGCCCTGTATATTCTTCAAAAAAAAGGATATTTTTAAAACATTTTAGAAAATTAAAATAGAAATAAAATTGTTATTTTTCTTTCTGCTTTGTTATTTTTTATATCCAGATACAGCGGTAACTGGAAAACATTGGAATAGGAATAGGAATTATAGAAATGATTAGGCATATTTGTTGTTGTTACAAAGCAAATGGTTCTAAAATAAATTAATGAAATGGATCTTTTTACACTGCACAATTGCTGTGTCTCATGATCATTGGACATTATAACTTGATGCTAAAATTCGTCTTCCTGTTTCAGAGTTTTCTGGTTATCACTGTATAACCACATTGTAACACGCCAAATACACAAACATTATTAAAAATTAACAATAACACTTTTTTCTAGGTCTACCAGTACCTAGAGAAGCTGTTCCTAGAATAGGGTTTGTATCTGGTACTAAGGATAATAACTGGTGAGTTTATATTTTATATCTGAGCAGAGCTGGGAACTTTAGAATGGGATACCTTTAATCCCTACTGCTTAATCCGAATATCCAATGTGGACACTTAATTTGCTTGCTTAATCCACTCTAATTGGTTGAATTTTATACTCTTTTCAGTATTCAAACACAAGATTAGGCTAGTCTCGAGATTTAGAAAAAGAGAGGATCAACCATTGATCTCGATATTCACGTTTCTAAAGTTTTCAGCTCTGATTATTGAAGAATGAGTTTCATAATTGATTAACACCGATCCTCTTGAGACTAAATTCGGATCAAAATCTGACCATAATAAAAAAGATTAGACACTAATTTAGTCCAAGAGATGTAATGTAAAAATTTTTATTTTAATATCATTCAAATCAAGTTTAAGGAATTATAGGCGTAATTTCAAGTTATCAATTTTCTACCATTTTAAGACAAAGATTTATAGTAAGTACCAAAAAATTAAAAAAGACGACTTTCCTCTTATATATTGAAATATTTCAGTGTGTGTATAATGAGTGATGATGAGGAGGATGAGGTAAATAATGAATACTTGTTATCCCTGCTTAGTGACCACATTATTTTCCTTTAATTCAAAATCTATTTTATTGTCCCGCCTAGTCACTTTATTGTCCCGACCACATTTTATCAGTAATGTTTTAATAATTATGATAAACCGTCTAAAAAAGATTAATTTTGTGAGGTTTACTCCACATCCTCCACATTTTCTCTTGCAATTTAAAAACAATATCTTGAAATCACAAATATTCCGCCTCAACCTTCGAATATGTAAATATTTAGATATTTTATTCAGTCATCGTCGTATATATCAACACAAGGACGACGTATATATATTAACACAAGGACGACGTATATATCAACGCAAGGACGACGTATATATCAACACAAGGACGACGTATAAATCAACACAGGGACGACGTATATATCAACACAAGGACGACGTATATATCAGGGCAAGGACGTGTAATATATCAACACAAGGACGACGTATATATCAACAAATGGACGACGTATATATCATCACAAGGACGACGTATATATCAACATAAGGACGACGTATATATCAACATAAGGACGACGTATATATTAACGCGAGGACGACGTATATATTAACGCAAGGACGACGTATATATCAACACAAGGACGACGTATATATCAACACAAGGACGACGTATATATCAACACAAGGACGACGTATATACCAACACAATAACGACGAATTTATCAACACAAGGACGACGTATATATCAACACAAGGACGACGTATATATCAACACAAGGACGACGTATATATTAACGCAAGGACGATGTATATATCAACAAGGACGACGATTTTCGATTTCAATTTGGATTTCTACCAAGACAGACTGTCAATTAAATTAACAGCTTCTCTTTGTTTACTTGTAAACTTAGAATTTGAAAAAAGCTTGTTAGGACTAAAAAAAGTCGTTTTCATTGTATTGATATAGACGCCGACCACGATAACACAATTTTTCCAAAACATACAGTGAATCCCTAAATAACGAATACATCGAAAGAATTCATCAAATGTTGTATTCTTCACTTTCTGATAATGGAATGTTGCAGATATTTAGTTTTTTAATTAAATGATTATATGGAACTCTTTAAAACTGTTCCCGCATATTCATGGCTATTTCTTTATTTTCGCAAATACTGAAATTTACGTAATATGGTATAAAATTCATTGAAAAATTGTCAAGACGACATTTGATAAATTCTTTCGATGTAATTGTTATGAAGGGTTTCGCTGTACATAATTTTAAACTGTAATGGTTAGGCAGTTTGTTTCTTGGGATTTTAAATGAAAATTATTATTTTTTATTAGTTATTTTTTTACTCAATTTTATTTTAAGGTTTGTCCCCTGAAGAATCCTAAAGGATTAGTTTATCCCTGGCGTAGTACAGATCAGGAGGAGGAGGATATAGCCAAGGGTTTACTACCCTCAGGTTGGAGCAGAGCTGGAGGAGAACCATACTATCCAGGACTAGGTTCAGACCCTAGGTATCCGGGTACTGATGGAACACTGCAGGGAGATATTCAATCCCTCAGGGCTCAACTAGATGTATTAACACGTAGATTAGAAAACCAATAAATATATATTACACACCTTGTACATAAACCATACATAGATCATAAACCATAACTGTGTACGTAATTTCGAGAGTCCTTCCATTGATAGAGTGGCATGTCCGATTCACAACGGTACGCTTAAAACCTTTGTCTGATCAAGTATGAATTACAGAAAAATTATTATTTTTTATTGTTTTTTTTTCAAATGGACTTTCGCATATCTTGCAATAAAACAATGGAGAAAATAAAGATCTGAATATTTGACAGAAGTTTCTGCTTTAAATAGTATCTTCAAACGAAGATACAAGGCTTAATAGATTCCGTATAGTCGTCTCTGAAGTCTCATTCTTTGTGGGTAACCCTATACTTACATTCGTTTCCGGTGCAATAACATGACAAAAATATACCAGGAAAGAAAGCATTGTTTTCAAAAAAAAATGTACTCAAGTTCGCGGGAGAAATGTTCTACTCAGACATCACTAGCTTTGTTTATACAGGGTGTCCCAAAAAACATGGGAATTCAGTGACGAATTGGATATCGTCTTTGTTAT